CGCCTTCTTCTTGGGAGGAAAGGGATGACAAATCTTGACAGCATCTTGAAAAGCAGAGACATCACCTTGCCAACAAAAGTCCGAATAGTCAAAGCTATGGTTTTTCCTGTCGTGATGTATGGAAGTGAGAGCTGGACCATAAAGAAAGCTGACCAACGAAGAATTGATGCCTTTGAATTGTGGTGCTGGAGGAGGCTCTTGAGAATCCCCTGGACTGCAAGGAGAACAAACCTATCAGTTCTAAAGGAAATCAACCCTGAATGCTCACTGAGGCTCCAGTACTTTGGCCATCTCATGAGAAGAAAAGAGTCCTTGGAAAAAACCTTGATGTTAGGACGGTGTGATGGCAAGAGGAGAAGGGGACGACCGAGGATGAGATGGCTGGACAGTGTCTGCGAAGCAACCAACATGAACCTGACACAACTCCGGGAGGCAGTGGAGGACAGGAGGGCCTGGCGTGCTCTGGTCCATGGGGTCACGAAGAGTCGGACACGACTAAACGACTAAACACACACATTTGCTGCTCATGTATCCTAACAAACTGGTATCCAGAGACCGGGTGGCACTTGTGATGGAAATGGTAGATAGCAGCCGTGAGTACGAGCCACTGATGGCCTTATCCTCCATGGTTTATCTAACCGTCATTTAAATCCACCTAACCCTGCTACTGATACCCAGTGTAGTGTAGTGGATAGAGTGATGGACTAGGACTCAGGTGGCCTGAGTCTTGGGGATGTGGAAGTGGCCAAATCAGCACCTAAATACCTCAATTACCTTGAAGGCCCTCCCTGTTAGGGTCACTATAAGTTGGTTCCAACTTGATGGCACACAACCACCACCACCTTGCTATTGTTCACATCCTCTGAATTTCATACTTTATGTGGGAATAAGCAAGTTAGCAATTTGTATACAATGCTAAGTAAGCACTTCCCTTTTGGCTTTGCTGACTCTCCCATCATTCAGCTCCACAGTTTGAATATTGAGAGAGAAGGGGGGGAAATCCTTCTACACGATTTCTCTACACCATGCCTAATGTTTCACACATTGATCATCCCCACTCCATTACATAGCCTTTTTCTTAACTTAAAAGCCCAAAACGTGGTCAAGCCTTTGTCATAGGTTGAACTACTGTACTCTAGGCCCGCAGTCTCTTTGACTGATCCGGCTCCACTGTATCCTTTTTTGAGGTATGTGGGGGTGCCATTCCCAAGGTTGCTAAGCCACACTGTTTTTGTAGTGAGGGCACACCCTCCCAGCATTATGCAGCTGCTACTGAGAGGCGTGGATACCCATTCTTCTTCTTTCTCATATGTGATAGAGAGCTTGCTTAGTTGCCTTTCCTTGGGCCAATCCTAATGGCATTATGTAACCATTGTCCTATCTGAACCCTGTCAACTATCTGTGAGCTTGTAAGGTTAATAAAACACAGTCCTCCTGGGGGAAGGGCAGTCTGATTCGAGATCCTCTCCTACTAGTCGCCCCATCAGGAGCACTGCTGGCAGGAATCCTTCTGTGTGCGTGGCTGACTTCTTTAACTTCTATACTCTAAGACTATTTGCTATCCTAATTACTTGTGACTACATAAACTATCAGCCTGTTCATTTCATGACTCCAACAGAGGTAAATAGTTACTGATTCATATAACAGAATCTGTCCTCTGATCCAGTGACTGCTGTGCTTATGCAGGAGCCTTTGGGACTCTCAAAAGCATCTCGAAAGCTCACACATATCTCCTGGATTCTCCAATGCAGAAGCTGCCCTGCAACCTGACACTCTGAAAGGCTAGAAGCCAAGACCTGCTTTTTGCAAGAGCCATACTAGCTCTTTTTTTTTTTAAGAAACAGCAGAAAACAAATAAAAACAAAAAAACCACAAACAAAACCCCAAAAGTATTGCGGAACGTTTAACACCAACAAATCTATTACAATGTGACTTTACATGGGTTACCACTCACTCCCTTCAGACACAAGGAAGGCTAAGGATATGATGCTTCAAGTGTCAGACGAAATGGATTGTAATCCAATAAAAAAAACCCTCATATTGTTTCTGTTGTTCCTGAAACAAACTAATTTGTTTTTATCTACCTCTGGAGGGGAAAAAAAAGTATATTTTTTTTTCAGAAAGTCTTGTTCTTCCCTCTCAGAGATGGGAAACTTTGTGGTCCTCTGGGTCCTGCAGAACTGCAGTTCTCTGAATGCAAAGCTGATGGCGAGGGAAAGGAAGGAGCTGCCATGGGGACTGTAGCGAGGGGCGGGGGAAGAGATGTTTTCGCAGCTCTTTTCTACAGGCTAGATAATTTTATCTTCAGCAAGGTTTTCCACAAACGCTTCCCAGGACAGGTATGCAAATTCTTCCTGGATCCTTCCATGTCATTTTTGGGCATTCTTTTGGCTCATTTTCTGTCAAGAGTGCTAACCAGAGTGGAAGTGGGTGCCGGGCAAGTGGATTTCTATGGAACAAATTGAACTTACATTCCAAAAGCTCATCTCTTGATTTATTCAAAAAGGCGTCAAGGGTCCCTGGGTGACCTCCTGGCCGATTTGCGCTAACACTTCGACCTCTCGGATTGGGACTTTGTGCTGTAGTTAATGGAAGGGGAAAAATGGGGGAGGAGTTGCAGAAAGAGAGAAAGAGTTGTATTTGTAGTTAAAAACATATTGAATATTACTTTGCAGCTCTGAAATAGCCAAAGTAGTATTTTGCAGCCGACTCCTAGCTGCCTTGGGTTATTTTTAAGGAGAAAGGCGAGATTAAAATATTTTAAATAAATAAATAAAATCAATGTCCATTCAGATTTCAATCCCCTTGGGCTTGAATAGGGTTCATCTTTTACTCTAAGATTACACACTATTCCTCTCCATTAAATTGGGAAGGCACCATGTGGTCCCTCCAGATGTTTTTAGACTATGGAACTCTTGAGCATTCCTCACTATGGACCTAGTGGTTAGGCTTCCTGGGAGCTCCGGCACTCTAAAGGCCCAATCCTGCATGAGCTACAGAATGGTACTGTCTGCCTAGGCTCCAACTCCTTTTGAAGACTGACAGCTTTGTATTCCATGGGGCCTCATGTTCAGGAACATGGAAGGAGGGAGGTTAGAGGGGGAAAGAGGATCTCTCTTCTGCTGCTGCTGAGCCTACCGCTGACCTGATAAGGCACCACAGAGGCAGAGAAAGCAGCTCCCTTAACTATCACCAATTCACACAGCACCCCCAAGCCTTCCAAGAGATTAAGGGAGCTGACAGGATTTGGCCAATGAGGTCCCACAAGACTAAAAGCACTTCCTGTCTGACAGAAAGAGAAGGCATGACTGTACTGGTAACAAATGTTAGTTTTTCTGTATTTCTTTAAAAGAACAGAAACCACATTCATTCATTCATTCATTTGACTTCTATACCACCCATCTGGCTGCCAAGGCCACTTTGGGTGGTTTACATACTAAACAAATAAGATAAGAACAATTCAAAGCCATAAGTGTAACAGTTATAAAATCAAAATTAAACACAACCAACCAACCATTTTTAAGTACTGTACTAGCAATTTAAGAACTTTATTGGTAGGCAGCGTATTAAATAAACCCCGCATCCAGAGGAGGTGTCCCTATTTACCACCCACCCCCACCCTCTCAGCGATTTCAGTCTTGCTTATAGGAGTTTCTGAGAAGAAATCTCTTCAGACCCTCATACAGTTGGAACATAATTTGGCTCTAACACTCCCTCTGGCGGCTTGCCCATAAAGGAACCTGAAGTGCAAGAGGAAATAAACTAGTCCATACCCGGTATCAATGCTCAGTGGGCCAAATTCTGTTCAAACCAGTGTAATAAATGTGCTGCATGTTACATTCTGCAACAAGGAATTGCACTATTCAACTGCACAATAGGTTGCACATACCTAGCATGATCAGATATGCAAATGCTTTGGCAAAAGGGCTTTGCAAACACCATCTCCTCCTTGGTGCTACAGCAACAACCACAGCTGCAACCTCGAGTTACAGGTGTAAAGTTGTGCCACAGGGTTTTGGGCAATAGACTTATTCAAGGAACATGACATGTATATACAGATTAGACAGAAGGGGAAGGTGGGAGGGGGAAGAGTGCAGCATCTTTCCTAGATTTATCAACATTCTAGGTATCCGCCACTGCGACTCCATTTTACACAGGGGAAACGGAGGTTGACAGAACTTGACAAAAATCTCTCACATTTAGAATGATGTGAAATAACCATGGGAGAGCCTGCATTCTACCTCCTCTACCCTATTCCCACTGCCAACTGAGCACTGGAAGGGGGGTGGTTCTGTATTCATGTAGGGTCCCCAAACAATGTAGCATCCTGATTTTTTGGGGGATCCCACACAAGTACAGACCTGCTTCTTCATGCAAATGTTTAAATTCCAGAGTGCAGAGAGACTAGCAAAAGGGATGCTATGAAAAGGGGAAGCTATCAAGGGAATCTCTATGATCCTTTTTTGGGGTTACTAACCACACGACACCGGAAATCTCTGCAAAGGGCCAAAACCTCCCCCTCCAACACTCCCCTGATCACACAACACATCAACTGCAGGGACACTTATTTTAGATAGAACACCCCCCCTGAAAATTCCACACACATCAAATTCATACATACACGATGTACATTATTTTGCTAACTTTCTTTCTCTCTAATGGGCCAAAAAACCAATTTTTAAAGAAGGGATGCTAGAGCCATTTTTTCCAGCCTCAGGATGCTCCAGGAATCACATCATTCCCACATCCAAATAAAACTAGAAGCAACTGAAAGGTCACTAATTACAAAATACACTTCTTTTAAAATAAATGACACTTTACTAAAACAATATGTAGGCTCTCCCATCCACGCCATATTTAGGGGGTAAAGTGTCCCCTAAGGGGAAAAAATATCGTAATGGAAAAAAAGGGTATGTGTGATCTCGCTGAGGTTTCAAGAATATTCTTTGGTATGCTCTCCAGATGTATAATTTCCACTCTGCTCAGAAGACAGCTATTCTTCAAAATATTTCAAAACAATGTTGATATATTTGTGGAAAGAAAGTGAAGGGTTGATCTTTGTAAGATCAAACTTACTGCGTTTAGGAGGTCGTCTTCTCTGCTCTGTGGTGAGGGGAAAGAGAAGAAAAATCTGAGTTAGTCACTGAATATGAAATGATATATCCTAGAATATTTTAAAAATGGGACATCAAGAATTAAAAGTGAGAGAGTTTTGGATGGATCCATTAAAACAGAGGGAACTTATCCCGTGCTTTTGGAGAGCTGTAATCAGTGGTGCTGATATCTAGAAAGCAATGTATGAAGACCCCGTCCTTCACTGGATGATGAGCCAAATCAAGAAAAAAAATCAAAGAAAAATGGATGCTGCAAGAATCATCACAAAATGCAACATTATTATTACTGTATTATTCTATGCTTTTATTGCTTGTTTTATGCATTTACATTAGAATTATGCTCTTGCGTACAGCCTGTCTGGCTACAAAGCAATACAGTGTGTGTTTTTATTCTATAGGGTCCCTTCCAGCTCTGCAGCTCTAAGATGATGGCTCTAGAGTAGTTCAATATTGGGATATGACTTTTCCCCTTTGTCAAATTATTCTTCCCAGAATTTGTGGATATGTTTGTTCTCCTCTGACTGCTTTTAAGAACAAAGGTTAAATAAAGGCATGCCCCAGGGACATTCACAGGCTCACAGGTAAGCCCCCATGCACGGCTACTGCAGTGGTCACCACCACCTTTTGACTTGATTGCAGCAGATACCTGCTATGGTGTCATAAATGTACAGAACGCTGCAGTTCCTCACCTCAAGGAACTTGTGATCACACACACACACCCAGTGGCCTGGAAGAAACTGCAGAATGTACTGGAAGGGACGAAAAGGAAGACAGGGGGAAGCATTGTTCAGACTTCATCCGACCAATACCTAACCTCTCACTTAATATCACTCATTTCAAGTGAAGCCATAGAGGGTATCCCAGAGCCATGCCATTCCCCTGATCCTAACCTGGGGTTTGGGAAGGTCCTCAGAGCCTGGCACGTGGAAAACAGCTAGCTTGAAAAAGTTGCACAAAGCAGCAATATGGAATGGCAGGGTGAATTTACCGGATTTGCCACCTGAGGCAGCTACCTCACATTGCCTAATGGCAGGTGGGATGGTTGTGATGAGAAGGCAGCCTACTGCAAGCAAAGGGAGAATCTTCAGACTTGCAGTCAAAACCCCAGAGGACTCCTCCCATTTCCTCTGAGCTTCAGAGATTCTGAAAGACTTGCTTAGAAAAAAGGAGACGACATTTTTTTACCAGTCATAGCAATCTCCGCTTAACACTCACTGGTGTCAGAAGCCGCAGCAGCCTCCCATTTCCTCTGAGCTTCAGAGATTCCGAAAGACTTGCTTGGAAAAAAGGAGACGACGTTTGTTTTACCAGTCATAGCAATCTCCCCTTAACACTCACTGGTCTCAGAAGCCGCAGCAACATCCTCTCTAGCCTTCTCCTGTAAAGGCTTTGACGGGAAATCGTTTCCTTTTGAAACATCTTTAGGAAAAGATCAGCACATTGCCTAATGGCAGGTGGGGTGGTTGTGATGAGAAGGAAGCCTACAGCAAGCAAAAGGAGAATCTTCAGACTTGCAGTCAAAACCCCAGAGGACTCCTCCCATTTCCTCTGAGCTTCAGAGATTCCGAAAGACTTGCTTGGAAAAAAGGAGACGACGTTTGTTTTACCAGTCATAGCAATCTCCCCTTAACACTCACTGGTCTCAGAAGCCGCAGCAACATCCTCTCTAGCCTTCTCCTGTAAAGGCTTTGATGGGGAATCGTTTCCTTTTGAAGCATCTTTAGGAAAAGATCAGACACAGCAGACACAATTACACACAAAAGGTTCATGAAGCACAATGCAACACGTAAGTGAACGTGGAACGTAGAGTACAAAAACCCACAGACCCATAAGGGTCTCCTCCAGGCTGTACTTCCTGTTACTAGAGTGCCAAAAAAGGAAAGTGGTTGTGGTACTTTCTGGGGTCATAGTTCTTCAAAAGGAGTCCTGTATAAGGGTTATTTATTTATTTATTGTTAATTATTTTTAAGGCACCCTTCAGCCTCTAGAGACTATGGTAACGTGCTCTGAACAGAGGACTCGGAACAGTGTCTAGTGTGGCTGAGGAGGCCAATTTGAGAGTGACAATCTCTTCCACACTGAAGACAAATCCATTCTGTCCCCTGTCCAGCTCCCTGGTTTTGCTGCTTTTGTGACTTC